CTTTTACTGTTAATGGTTGATCCTAAAAAGGTTAGTCACCACTTTGATATCTTCATTGCTAATTCTAAGGCTGGTTGTTGTACCTGTTATCGTTAGTTTGGTATTTTTTATATTTAATTTTAGTCCCATTTTTTTCACTAAGCTTCTTGACTTTTATTAGTAAACCTTGTAATTTTTTTGCATTTTCAGCTATTAGAGTAGTGTCATCAGCATAGTGCAGGTTATTGATGTTTCTTCCTCCAATTTGAAATCATGTTCATCTTCTATCTAATTTCCCTTAATATATATTCAGCATATAGGCTGAATCAATAAGGGGAAGTATATAGCCTTGTACCTCTCCTTTACCAACCTGGAACCAGTCTGTTTTGCCATGCTTTGTCTGTAGTTTGGCTTCCTGACCTTTATATAGATATCTCATGAGGACAATGAGATGTTCTGGGATCCCCATTTTTCTAAGCACATTCCACAACTTAATGTGATTGACACAATCAAAGGCCTTTCTATAATCAATGAAGCACATGAACAGCTGGATCCAATATAATGCTAAGGAATTGGCTTCCCTGGCTGGAAGGCCATCCTTTGTTTTGACAAGGAAGGAAATCTGCAGAGGAGATACACAGGGTGTTCAGGAATGGCAAATGTATAAGTAAAAATAACTGGCATTGACAATTGTCTGCAAACATGTGTTTGGCAGCTCTTGTTAGCTTACAGTCTTATTATTCACAGATTTCTCAGTATAATCCATTTTCTTCTTTGCTAATAGTTGAGTGCTGCTAAACACCTTTTGAAGTAATTGCTGTTCTGCCATAGCTGTGGTGAATTAGGCTCATGCTGGCAGATTAGTCCTGCTATTGGCTGCTAACTGGATTATTTTACATAGGTAAAAAAAACCCTTTCTTTTATGTTTAATTTAGGATTAGACTACTCATATTTTCTGACATGGTTTTGAATGTAGGGTAGAAACAGATTAATGAGGTTGGAACAGTATCCCAGCTGAAGGCGTTACCCATGAACACATGTACAGTGGTATAATTGAATATATGGGAGAAAGACTGGGCACCTCTCTCAGTTTTATAACCAGTTTCTCCTCTTGGATTTTTAGAGGTTTTATTATTTAAATTATTGGGTCTTTGCTTTGGGTGAAAAATTACTAATTTTTCTACTAGTTGTAAGCAAGAGGAAAATGCTGTTCTTTGTTTAGTAAGTAGATACAGTTCACACATATTCAGCTATAAAGTAATATGCATATATTTTAGTTCACTGTGATATGTATAAATTGGAGCATCTGAATGCTAGCTTGGTGTGTAATAAAGCTGCTGTCATCCATTATCTTATCTTGGAGGAAGGCACTGATCTGGCATGTCTTACCAAGACCTGGTTGGGTCCAGAGGGGAGGTTCCCCTTTCAGAAAATGTGCCTACCCAGGTTTTGGGTTCTGCACCAACTGAGAGTTAAGGGGAGAGGAAGAGCGGTGTCTGTTGTCATCCATGAATTATTATAGGCTTTCTGGGGCTCTACTCCACACAAAACCAGATGTGAGGCATTCTGGCTGAAGTTGGGCTTAAGGGAACAGTTGGGATTGTTGCTGGTGTACTAGCTTCCATGCTGCCCAGTGGCTTTCCTGCCTGAATTGCTGGATTCCGTTGCTGGTTTGGCCACAAAGACCCCAAGGCTGTTGGTCCTTGAGGATTTAATCCTGGCACCTGATGATGTTGAATCTGGTGCAGCTCAGGAGTTCATGGCCTCCATGGCAACCATGGACTTGTCCTGAGTCATTGACAGGCTGACTCATGCCAGAGGCCACACATTATACAGTGGTACCTCTACTTACGAACTTAATCTGTTCCATGACTCTGATCGCAAGTCGAGT